GAATAAATATTTTCTGCTGATGAATTTGTCAACTTTTCATAAGGTAAGCTTTGCACTCAAAAGAAAACCAATGGAGTTCATGCAAAACTATCTACGTAGAAAAACCCAAGTATGTAATAAAGGGGCTTGAACTCCCGAATACTCCCCTTTATATTGGCTGTATCTTGTTTTCACTTCAATTTGTCTGTGAATATGCCACTATCGAACCACTAAACGTCATATTAAACGTCTAACATGGCTTGTTTAGGTGCACTGCTCACTTGCTCACAGGTCTGTTAATGGCAGCCTGATCTTCTAAGCCCTAGATTACGTTCCCTGACCACAGACTGACCATAATACTACACTACAAGAGCCAGTGCGGCCTTTTGGTTTTGCTCAGTAACCGCTCCGCCAGCTCCGGATCACCATTACTGTTCCAAATCAGTGGCTCGCATCGACAGCCCGTCACTCACACCATGATATTCCTGCCATAAGCCACAATACAAACACAATCATAGCTTTTTGTACAACCCCGGAGTGCCTTTAGTGGGCTGTGATGTCAAATGAAGACCTCAAGCTTTCAAAAATCACTGGTCTATTGAGTTACAGGCTGTATTTTTGATCACAGAAAGGAAACTTAATCATAAAAGGCAGCAATTGGGGAACATAAGTCTTTGAAATTTCGTTGTGCTTTTATTGGCCCTGGATATTTTTTGTCATGATCATTATGTTATAGAATTTAGCTTGAGAATTGACATGTTTGAGGTTGATTGGGGAGATATGAGTCGCTTGCAAAGTATTATGAATAGAAATGTTTATCCAGTCTGGTAAAAATTCCTTGTGACGAGCCGTGAGCCGAAATCAATCAGTAAACTAACAATAGCAAGGAAATTAAGATTTTACGATTGAGTGGTTTTTTTTTAACAGTGTATATTAACTATGTCAGACATTACGGGGAGTGGAGTAAAACCATTGGTACCCATGCAATGTTAAACCTGCAAACAAGATGGGTACATGATTCCACGCTTTTAACATCCAAACCAAATATGTTTTGTTCCTAAATGGCCAGTCGTATCATAATGCACTCCATGTTAACATATCCATGAGTGATATATCTCCAGTCTCTCATATCTATAGCTGGTAGACCAGTCTTAGCTGCATGTACGGAGTGTTTTCTGAGGTTTCAGGCTGGATTTGCACAGCCCCATGCTGGATTAGCTGCAGTCAGAAGGCACAAACTGGCCACTGTGCTTCCCCAGTCTGAGGCACTAGACACACAGGCATCATACTGTTGACTTACTAATACATGGGCTCTCTCTTTTTCATACATGCACACACTTTTACAGCCCTGTTTATGTTTATTAGTTTCATTTATTTTATTCCAACTGCCAATCTTAGCTCCAATCCAAACATTAGCAGTATGTTTGAAAGCTCTAAGACCCCCTGTGGAGTTTTTAGTGTTAAACAAGTGTTAAAGCTGATAATGAAAGCTGTTTTTAAAAATAGAGATATGTTGTGTTGTATAGTGAAAAATACTGTGGAAACTGAAGTTAAGTGAATGTACATATTCATAATTATTAACTTGACTTTTCACAAAAACACATTTAGCATTTATTTCATTCAAGATCTTTCTAATAGTTTAACAATTTTCCCCCCAGTTTGACCAGTTGGGATTTATATTTGGGAGTTATAATGTTATTTCCTGGTACTGACGACTAAAACTGTGTAATGTATACTCAAGATTAATGATTATTTTAAAATGTCAAAAACTTGCGTAGTTGAATGTAGTTGGAAACCTCCCTACAGCCTGTCTTTCCATTAAATAATAACTCAAAATGATAAAACAATGAAAATATGTCGTATGCACTTTCAAGATGACAGTTCAGTACTTGCAATGTAACAGCCCATAGTCTCACTTTGATCAAGACAACACACAATAAACTGAGTTCTTGTATAGCCCTAAATCACAACAGTAGTTATCTTGGGAGACTTTAACAACCGTTTAATTCACCAACACAGATCAGAGAATCAAACACAAGAAATGAAACAGAAAACACATTGGTATTGGTCCACAAGGGGCAGATGACCAATGTCCATGAGTCTTATGAATGGACGATGTTATGAATGGACAATATTCCAATTCTATGCTTTTATACATTCTTCTCGTCTTTCTTAAAACCCCTTAAAACCCATATAAGACTGCTCCAGAGTAGAGTAATTTGTCATCACAACCCCTTAATCAGTGATAATCTCCTCTTTGTATCTTTCAGCTGCATATCTTGAAGCTGTATTAACGGCTGTGATCAAAACGAGGTGTTTTCAGTGCAAGGCTAAAGCTACTAACCCCAAAACACACCGGCCAAAAAGGTTTTCCAGGAGAGGGTCCAACAATATCATAACAATCTCCAGCCTGGATTTCCTCTCTGGCACCAAAAAGGTCACTTGAGAACAGAGTTGTGGACTCGAGTCACATGACTTGGACTCGAGTCAGACTCGAGTCATACATTTGATGACTTTAGACTCGACTTGACAAAATCTTAAAGACTTGCAACTCGACTTGGACTTTAACATCAGTGACTCGTGATTTGACTTGGACTTGACCCGTTTGACTTGAAAAGACTTGCTACTTTCCTCGAACCCAAAGATTAAAAAGTATGTTCACGCGGCACTGATCGCTCTTTCTCCCTTTACACCTGCTTTGTGCATCTGTGTGCGTGAGTCACGCAGCGTGGAGTGTGTATGGTATGATATCCAATCAAATTAGATCCACGTTGTTTCGACCTGACAGCATCAACCAATCAAAAGTACGAGACAACCGATAAATGGGAACAAGCTGAACGCGCGTGCACAGGAGCAAAAATGATTCCAAAAGTTGTTTCGTTTGGGTACAAGGACTACCAGGTGATTAACAAAAAAAGAACTGCCGTTTGTAAAACATGCGGAAGCAATATAACAGACGGAGACGCGACAACTTCGAACTTCGTACGACATTTGAAGTTACACAAACAACGGTAAGTTTTGAACACTAGCTTGTTGTCTGAGTAACTGAGCTGCTATCTAACTACATATTAATGAGACTGTGCAGACTGTGAACTCACTGTTAATACCACCTTGACTTAAAAACGTGGTAAACTGTATCTCCAGAGGGCTCATGTATGTATAAGTTCACCATTTTGCACGTTAAGCTCCCTTTATGGGTTGTTTTGGATGAAAGAGTGTTTGACATAAAAAATGTTGATAAATGGTCCAGTCTCGAGCTTTTGGCTAATTTGGAATTACCCCCTGCTAGCGCTATGAACGGGACTATAATCTGGGCTCGAGGGGGTGGAGCGCCAGCCCGGCCCGGTCCAACAGGTTTTCAGAATTCTCAGGCCCGAACCCCATTGTCCGAACCCCATGGCCCGAACCCGTATCAAGCCCGTTTTTTTTTTTTCAATCCTCCCCTAACCATGTTTTAGCGTAGTATATAGTTCCGCGCACTGATATGAACGTAGGCCTGGCTAGAGGGCGGAGTTATACATGGTAGTGATGTGTTGCAATGAATTGTGTGTAAGGAGTGAAATGGCCGCAGCTGTCTGATACAGATACCGAAATAATAAACTACAAGACACTTGGATGTAACGCTATGTGTCGTCAATGACAGTACTATACAGTACAACAAATTTTATCAATGTGATGTTAAAACATACACACTCTTACAGTATACAATATAATTAATATTAACCCCAAAACATAATATTAACACAATGCTAGCATTTTCTGATATCTGTTTTATATGCTTACCTGTTACAGATTTGAAGAATACCAGATGAATAAAAGCATCATAGATGAACCACAACAGCCTTCAATCTCACAATTCTTGGACGGTCGTGTGGGTTATTACAGCATGAGTCATCCACAGCAGAAAGCTATCACTAACGCCATACTGTACGACTTGATAATTGATTGCAACCTTCCCCTGTCTATTGTAGAAAACAAGAGTTTTCGGCACTTTTTGACAGTAGTTGACAAGAAGTACAGCCCAGTGTGTCGCAGAACGATGACATCAAAAACAGAAAGTCTCGCTGAGGAGAGACGTTCAAGATTAAAAACTCAATTGAGCAACACTGAGCATGTTTCAGTCACTGTGGACATTTGGTCTGACCGAAAGATGAGGGGATTCCTTGGTATCACTGTCCACTGGATAGAGAGAGAGACGGAGAGGATACAGCTAAAGACTAATCTCTTGGCCTGCAATCGCTTCAAAGGCTCACACACAGCTGAACGAATCTGTGACCAATTTGAGGCAATATGCGATGAATACAGCATCAAAGATAAATTGGACTACATTATTAGTGACAATGCTGCTAACATGCGAAAGGCATTCACTGTGTGCTTCCCCAGTGAACAAGAGGATGATGACAAAGATCATCTTGATGACCCTCTGGTCTGGTGTGACTTATCCCTTGAAGAACAGCAAACGGTAGATGCTGCTATGTCAAGGAAACAGCGCCTGCAGTGTTTTGCGCATACGCTTCAGCTGGTGGTGGGAGACGGTTTAAAAGAAACAAAAGTGGCATGTCCTTCTCTTTCCAAGTTATCAAAACTTAGCTCACTGCTCCACACAAGCACAACATTCAAAGATGTGTTTGATAGTGAATTTGGGGAACAGAAAGGCATCCCTGCTGCAGTAAACACTAGATGGAACTCAACACTGAGGCAAGTGAAGGCAGTTCTCCACTGTGATCATCTAAAACTCTGTGCTGTTCTAGAAAAGGCTGGGCATAAGGAGTTGTGTTTCACGCCAAGAGAGTGGAATCTGTTGAAGGAGTTGGTGGACATTTTGAAGCCGTTTGGAGAAGCAACTGATCTGACACAGGGTGATAAGGTCGTCACAATCAGTGCAGTTGTTCCATCCGTCTTGTCCCTCAATCATCACCTTGAGAAGCTAAAGCCTCAAGTTCGTTTCCTTAGCGGCCTGGTCAGAATTCTCCAGGCATCCCTGAACAAAAGATTTCTTGGGATATTCATTAACGTGAAAAATGGCCAGGAGTCAAGATGGGATCACTGCCCCCTTTTCAGACCCAGTCTACCTGAAAGCAGCCGTCTTGGATCCAGCCTTTTCTCTGCTGTGGGTGGAGCCTCATGTGCTGGTCAATCGTGACATCAAGGCAGAGGTGGCACAACAAGTTAAAGGTAAATACCATTGACTTTAATGCAACTTTCGTCTGATCTAATTGACAGCATCAATAATTGCATTTTTCAGTCCAACACTGTATCACCAACACCAATGGTAATAAAGGCTATTTTGTTTCTGCTGCTACTGTTTTTCCAGAATTGATCCTGCAAGATGCTGCAGAGACTGAACAACCTGTGCTTCTTGGTGATGAAGAGGACCTTGGTGAAGGAGAAGGGCTGTTTGGTGCATACCGTAAGAGGCAGAAGAAGGATGTCGGGACCTCTCCAGCACTACAGCTAAGTCACTACCTAGACATAGCCGATGGAGAGAGCGCCCTTTTGTTCTGGGCACTAAACATGAAGACTCTTCCTTCACTCTACCGAGTGGCCATCAGAGTGTTAGCAGTGCCTGCCTCTAGTGCTCCCGTGGAGCGAGTTTTCAGCCATGGTGGTGTCATTCTACGCCCCCATCGTGCTCAAATGAGTGACAGACTGTTGGCCAATTTGATATTTTGCAAATGCAATGCAGCATAGGGCCCTTGCATAGAAAAGCACAACTCTGTTAATTGTTATGTTCATGACACTTCTAATCCAGTTCTCTCGCTCTCTCGCGCGTGCACGCTCTCTTTCTCTCTCTCTCTCTCTCTCTCTCGTGCGCTCTTTCTCTGATAGAGGCATGAATGTCTGAGTTAAATGAGTGTTTGAACAATGTTCTTGTAAAAAAAAGGTTTAATAAATATATACAAATCTTAAAGGCATACATGATCTGTTTAAATATTTTTTCTGTTTTTAAAAGGACTCGAAAGGACTCGAAACTCTAACGATAGGACTTGTGACTCGACTCGAGACTTTCCTGTCTTGACTTGGGACTTGACTCGGGACTTGAAGGCAAAGACTTGGGACTTGACTCGGGACTTGAAGGCAAAGACTTGAGACTAACTTGTGACTTGCAAAACGATGACTTGGTCCCACCTCTGCTTGAGAATAGAGCCTGCATGTGCTGCATATGAAGCTTTGTATGTGTCTCTGCAACACCTCCATGGAAAACCCAAGTCTCTGTTTACATTGACTTCAACAAATCTGGCATCTGAAAACAAAAATGTCTTCTGTATTGACTGGCTTGTCTTGGGAGACTTTGAAAAATACAGTATGACTGATCATCTTGTCATGGTGAAATGTTTTAAAAGAAAATTTGAACTGCATGTCCTGTTTTCACTTTTATAGACTAACCTGCAGATGGGAAGACGTTCAGTTTTTGTACTGTTTTCAGAAGTAATGTCATGTTACTTGATTAATCCAAAGAGTTAAATGGATTTAAATACATATTCTTAAAGCTGCATTACCTCACTTTATTTTTGTATTCATTACAAAAATGCAATCCATATCCATGCAGTGCATTGGGACATACGTCCTTTTGAAGAAAAAGTAGCGCAGATTTGTGCTGTCATGTCATTTTATTTTAGATCAAGTTTTAGTGAAACAAGGAAGACAATGATAATGTTTTTTGTTTTTTTGTGTGAAACAAGGAAGATAATGTGGGCGACAGTAGCTCAGTTGGTAGAGCATTGGCCTTTGAGCCTGAAAGTCGTGGGTTCGAGCCCACCGTAAGACCTACTTCACGACTCCCACTGATGACTGCTGTCGTTGTGTCCTTGGGCAAGACACTTAACCCCACTTTGCCTGAAGCCCCCGCTGAAAGATCTCAGCTCCTGTGGACTCACCACCTGCAGGAGGATCAGTGAGGGGCTGGTGCTCTGTGTACTGGGTGGCATCTCTGGCCACCACCCTGACCCAGAAATGGATTAAGGGGAAGAAAATGGATGGATGGATGGAAGGAAGATAATGTGTTTCGGGACCAGATTGTGACCAATCACAGCGGACCACTAGCCCCCACTTTCTTGAGAAAAGCCACAGGTCTCTTGTTAGCAATCGCTTCGTGAGTACAGGGAGGGCGAGCAGAAGAGCGAGACCAGCGCTCACATTCGAAAAAGTGAGTTAGTGCAGCTTTAAATTGTTGTGGTTTGAAAGTTAGGTACCCCAGCTTTATTGAGCAGCCAAACTCAATTAAACCACAACTTCAAAAGCAATCAGTTTTGTTAAGAATGTGTTAAATTTTGGGCAATTTTTGGGAAACAGAAGCAAGTGAATCAGATACAATATAATTTCATACGTTTTTCGTGTAATCTAGGGGAGGTGGAGGAACTAGGAAGTACAAATGACTGCTGCATCTAAGTAAAAAACACTGCCTGTAAATTTCACTTAGATTTTCAATTATTTTACATATACCTAATATTCAATGCAGTACTGAAGCACCTTCCACCACTGGCAGAATTCTAGTTGAAACATTGTGCCCAGTGTTTGCAAGTTAGCAACAATACTGTATATATAGAAACCCTCAATGTTCTGAATCGCAAAGTGAAAAATTACAAACACAAAAAAGTCAATATCATGAGTTTTATCCAGATCACATGAGAACCTTCCTTCGCTCTCTGGACACGTGTTCCCAATTGCTGACCGATTAACAGCAGCCAAACACCACACGCACACACTACTCATTAACAAGGACTTAACATAGCAGAAAAAGTCCCCCCAGCGAAGTCATCCTGGCCTCCCACAGCGGATGAACAGGAGCACACCTCTGTCACCTGATACTATGTGACCAGACAAACTCTCTCTATAGCTACAGTAACCCAGCCTCTGTGGAATTCTCATGAAATCTACTGTAATGACACAAGGAGTGGAGAGAGTTGCAGACAAAACACACCTCAGTTATATTTCCTAGAATTATTGGTATAGTAATATGTTAGAAAGCTATTTAACGCTGGTCCACCTAGTTTTCAAACCACACCAAATATAACTGTGTAATGATAATGAATCCATCTACCAACTCTTCCAACAGTTTGATTTTATCCCTAGTTTTCACCTTCACGTCTATTTAGACCAGCTTTTCACACAAAGAAGTGATCAATAAAAGACCAGCCTCACTCAGCCAATCACCAAACATGTACTATTCAGCAAAAAGAAAATTAGGTACTTCAGCTTGAACATCTTCGGAAAAGTGTGTTCTCTCATTTGAACACCTTATGTTGTAAGCGAGTCCCCAATCCAGCCGCTAGGTGTCACTACGGACCTCACGTCAAATCCAGTGGCCTGGTGTCATTGAAACCCCTTTTAATTTAGTTTTTCATTATTCAAAACTGTCTTACTTATTAACACCAACATAGAGGACTTCAAATTGCTTATTGGTGTGAATGTATAAAGACTGAGGGAACCTTTAAATGGACTTAAAAAAGATAATCTACTCAAAATACAGACTGTACTAAAGTTGGTACACCTGTCATGAGTACAGAAACCAAAGTATATGGCGCATTAAACAGCCAGTCGCGGTCTATAGTTTTAGACGAAGTGATGTGGCTTCACAGATATGCGTCTGCGGGTCTGGGGGCTACTAGGTCTGTCAACAGCGCTGCCATTCTGTTGCTGCTACATAAGAGACGCGACCAACTCGTAAATGGAAGGAAAAAAGTCCAGACAGACACAGCTAGAAGGTGAAAAAAAAAGTCCAAAGACCACCTGAGTGACAAGCAACAGCTGAGCGCACACATCTGGAAAGCAAACGCAGCCCACCATTAACTGCGCGTCTTTACGCACTGGCTCTTTCCGAGTGAAATTCCCCCCAGACTCAAAACAGCCATTCACTTCTCTCTCTCCTCTCTGCTGCAAACTTGTCACGCAGATAAAACATACATTATAGCAAACTGACACTTGGAATTCATAAGAAGCAATTTGAGTTTAAAGAAACAGTCATTACGCATAAATGGATAGGGCGTCATAAGGTTAAAAAAAAAACACAGCATATTTGTGAAAGGTGTGTGAAGTATAGCTTAAATACATAAGATCCACGGCTGTATTGTCAAGCTTGAAGGGTGTCTTATTCAGAATGTACCAAAAGTAAAGAAAATCTAATTATCAACTTAGAACAGAGGACAAAAATGCCAGTGAAAAAAGAAAACAAATGCTCTTACCTATCACAAACGTCAACCCGACGCGATATTCCGTTTGTCAGACCGAAAGTAACACTTGCATCTGGAGGGAGTGAAGATGAAAAACGTAAGTTCGTGTCAGCTGATTTGTGAGAAAAGAAAAAGAAACTATCTATGATAAGTGTTGTAGCATGGTGCTGCGCAGGGCAGGGAGGAAAGGACGCTCTCCAGTTGTGTGCGCTCCGCAGCTCTGGCTCCGAGTTAAAGAGTTTAGAAATGACATTAGCCGCGCTGCTGGTCGCCCATTGGCTCAGACGAACTGCCCCCCTTTTCCTTTCCTTTCCCTCTGCTCCACACGCACAGACCTCCACGGCGACGCGCGCACACGTCCACGCAGCTTGAATGCGCATTGTTGAATCCGTCTACTCAGTACAGAAAGGTGGATGTTGGCAACAATTACATACAAAAATACGCCATTATAAAGATGAAACATAATTATTTTGACTATAGAACCACATACTGTATATGTCTAAGTTGTGAAACTCAAAGTGACTAAGTATGGGCTACATATTTAGTTCCATCAGTAAAAATAAGTCAAACTAGGAAATTGCTTTCGCTCTTGGTGCAAACCAGTTAAAAAGTAAAAATAGAATTGCATGCATGGAGGTAAATCTTCATAACATTTCACAAAATGACATAAATGTTACGGCTATCTGATGCTACTGAACGATTATTTAATAATTTAGACAACAGTGCGCATTTGATAATTTTTACAAAATGCATTGTAGGAGGTGATGAAGTTGATGCAATCCTCAAGTTCATCACCTCCTTTGAGTGACCAGAGCAGTGCAATTTTAAATACATTTTAAGAAACTGTTCCGATCTGATCCAATCCAAAATACAGTTGAAAAGAACTTTGAGGAGTTGTTTTCATTTGTACCTAAATCTCTGTGGAATTTTTCTAGACATTTTTACTTTTTATTGCACTGAAGAAAAAAAAAGAAAAACTGTGATACACCTGACGCCTACCTCTCTGCTGCCAATGATGTATGCACTGCTGAAGAGTGGCAGCAGTACTTGTAAATAGCACACTTTTCGACATAAGTGAACACATTTGCAGGACTCTTTCCACCACTGGGATTTTCATATGACCCTCACTCAAACAGAAAGCACATTTCAGAAATATCAAAGTGAATCAGACCCCCGCTCCCACTCTGAGGAAGAGGAATGTTTGGATCAAATGTTTCAGCTCCAAAAGAGAGTGCGAGTCTTTTGAATACCCCAATGGCTGGCACTGGGACAGATCAGGTCAGACAGTGTTCTTTATTGTCCCATAGCAGTGGGACGGCCCACACAGAGAGGGACCCCACTCACCCGGCCGGACCCTGCTCTGAAAACCTGACAGCTTGATTTACAACGTACATCACATCTAACACTTCAGCCCTTTGAGTCCTGCTAGGTCCATGGTGACTCCAAATAAGCAGTGATGGGATGAGGTCCAACCAGTCAGTCCCAGAATAAAGTCATGGTAACGACCGTGTAGTCCGCCACCTGCAGTTTAGCAAACATGAGGAAAATGGCACTGTTTTTTCACCGCAACCTGTAGTTTAAAGGTATAGGAGCAATTTCCCAGATTTTAGGAAAGAACCGCCTTCTCTGGTCTTGTTTGACAAGCACGTATCACCAGAAGGATTGACAATTATGAGGACCAATAGTCTTGATGATCCACCCTGAAGTAGAAAATCATTCTATACCTTAAGTCACAGTGGGGACATTTCAGTGTTGCATCACCAGATACAGAACAGTAAGAATAGCACACAGCACGAGATAAATGAACAATAACTCTTTACTAAATGAAATAAAATTAAAATTCTAACTCTAGCATCAAAAAGAAACAAGTAAAACATCTCTGTCTTTAGCATAATGAGAAGCGCTGTGTGCAAGTAATATATAGTGTATGTTTACATCTGTACATGTTGGCAGCATCAGGGTATGGAACAAAGAGAGAAACAGTAGACACATGTGGTTCTATAGTGCACATTCTTACATTAATAAAGTTATTATTGCACAGATGAGTAAGTAAAGTAAAGTGACCGTAACACATGTGGTTCTATAAAGTTCAATAGATCATGGAATTTTGTAAGGCAATTAAGGTCCGTCATTCTAAATGATTTATCATTGATGCACACGTCTATGATCCTTGTACATGCTTAAGAGGTCAAAACAAATGGAAATAGTTTTGATTTAATAAGAAATCCACTTGAAATGATTTGATAAAGAGTCTGTGAAATCCAGCACTCCCCTGATGAGTTGTTAACTTTTCTCCCCTTTAATTTGAACGTCCCCCTTACTATAAAACGTATGCATTTACCACACACCTCGCTGCTGAACTTTTTAATGTGGAAATGTGATCGTGGTCCATGTCCCTGCAGCATTCTCTCCACCTGTTCCTCTGTTCGCTACAGGATAACACCAGGCTCTGTGCTCTTTGTCAGCGCACATAGGCAACTGTAACATTAGGCCTCTTTACAGACAGAGGCACAGACGGAGCAGGGGATAAAAGCCAAGCCTGTATAGTCCCATAGAGGAATCAGGGATCATACGGCACAAAAAGGTAGTTAATCCAGGCCTTTACCTTCCAATGCAACCATAGATAAGGTAAGTAAGTAGTACAATACTGCAAGAATAATATAATTCAATAAACAAAAATCGAAAAACGACACAGGCGTAATATTAGGGCGGGGCAGGCAATCAACAGAACAGGAAGTAAAACAAAACTAAAAAATACTCAGAACACAAAATAAAACTAGAACTAAAAATGACAACCATGACAAGTTGAATGAATAAACAGTCACTGATCGCTGTGTGGGACAAATGCTGTATTGTTATTGTGTCCTTGGGCAAGACACATTATCTATCTGCTGCATCTTTAAGCAGGGGTACCATGTTTTCACTTTGCAATGGAGCTATTCTAAATACAATCTAACTGGTTCCTATCACTCAAAACTTAATTACATGAAAAAAAAAAAACTATCACTATCACTTTTCAACTCGTCTTTTGATGTCTCGATATAAAAGTGAAAAAGAAAGAACCATCCTCACGCAGTCAATCGGCTATTGCCCTCAAACAATAACTCACAGGGCTTTTTCCAAGTAAGCAAAATCACCCCAGCTTTAGTAAATATGGTCTTAAGTACATAATAGGTGTTTAACAGTTTTTTAATCAGTAATAATCAAGAGGACTTATTTGAATCATGATATAATGATCTAACTAATCATCACAATATGATGGACATATGGAAAATGGTGGACATGTGCACTTGCAATAATAAGGGTGGCCAAACCGGTGCTCTCAAGCCAACCCACAACTAATGGGCTGGGTATAATTTTCCATTTTGAGAGCGGCTCCGTGTGTATGGTTTCGGCAGCATAGATGTCCCAGGTTGTGAATAGTATAAGGTTATCTTTCGATCTAAGGTTGGGTCTGGTGGTGGGAGCCATCTTCAATAGTCATCTTATCTGGACAACAGCAGGCTCATCTGTCACACTGCCCCGGTTAGGGAGAGTCCATTGATCTATGTGTGGGTCGGGGGTTTAGTATCTATGGCTGTCTATTGTACATCTGCTAAAAAGTATGTCTTTTAAATGTCCTGACGTATTGAATTATCGCACGCTTTGAGTAAAACACCAAGAATGAATGCTGTGCTAATCAAAACACTTTGATCTACCTCTATTTGTTGCCAAAGTTTCTAAGAACCCCTGTGCAAATATTTTACCTTAGGGTTAGGCAAATTCATCTTTTGCCAAAAATCTTTATTAACTGCATTTGTGAACTTGATTCTACAGCATTCTGGTTCAAACTGATGCTTACTAACAAGATATCTATATCTTTCTGAAATTGGAGAGTTTTGCTTGCAGCAGCTTTTGTCCTTAAATATTGCATCAAACTTTTTCATGAAACCACATGGTGACACATGGTGACACCATGTTGAGATGTGATGTATTTTTTTGTCTTAGGGACCAGGTCTGTGAATTAGCTGTTGGCGACATGGTAGGGGTGTCACAATTTAGATTTCTTATCAAAATTGATTGAAATTACGTCACGGGCTCGATCATCTAAATCAAAGAGAGGATCAGCAATAAACCTCCCGCCAGGTTTACATACATCAGGGAGGTGTGCAAAGAGATGACGACGCAGCACATTGTAGCTGCGGCCACTAGTTAACGCTAGCTAACCTGCAGTTTATTACAACTCGGCAAGTGCAGATAAAGGAGACTTGAGCTTGAAGCTCTTGCTTATACATACACACACACACACACATACTGTATATATATTAGGGCTGGGAATCTATATTTAAAAAAAAAATCTAATTAGAGGCTTTATGATTAATTAATCGCATTTTAATCGCATATAAATATTTGTCCTGAGAACAGTGAGAAGTAATCTTTTTTCACATTGATTTTTAGTTTACCATTGAATAATGACAGAATTGTGGATGATAAGGGGATCGGACGCACTTCTTTCCCATCAAGTAAGTACGTTTTTATTTATATACCGCCTTTTCACTGCAGATCTGAGTCTCAAAGCGGTTTCCAATTGTTAATTTTTGGGCATTTGTCTCTCACTCCACACAGAGATGGGAGCGGGGTCGCCAGTACAGGAGGCGCATGCCAGAACTATTGGACATATTTTTAGTGGTAGGGGAAACCGGAGTACCCGGAGGAAACCTACGCAGACACGGGGAGAACATGCAAACTCCACTCAGAAAGGCCCTGGTCCGACTGGGATTCGAACCCAGGACCTTCTTGCTGAGAGGCGAGAGTGCTATCCACTCAGCCACCGTGCCGCACCTGTGAAACTACACTGCTTGTGTACCCAAATCTGACTTGCGCATGCGCACAAACCCGCCAGAATGGGGAAAAAACTCAATCTAATTAAATATTTCGTTTGAACACACCATTGTTAATCATATTGAATACAGTATGATACATGCATAAAATGTAATGTATTATTTCCATTATCAACCCGACAGACCAGTCACAGGACGCGTCATGGGCCTGACGTATGCAGCAGTCAACTCAGGGACTGCTATCACAGTAGCAGTGTAGTTTCACAGGAGCAGTGGACTGCTTAAAACAAACTTTACACGAAACTCTTACTCTTAAAACACACATATCACAACGCGGAACCATCAACATCTCGCCTCAAATTGCATTAAAAGTGATATGCGTGTCTTGACCATAGACTGTATATATTAATGGACAGAGTCACGCCTATCTCCGCTGTTCTAACTAATGGGCCAAAAAATGTGCTCTACTGGAGCAATCCAAAATGGCCGCGAGTGGTCCCGCCCACAAGAAAATTGTGAAAAAACGCATCTGCGCATGCGTCAGCCGGCGCA